ATGATGTATAAAATAGAGTTTCCTCGAGAAACACTATTTGTTTAAATGTTTTCAAATTTTAATATTTAAAAACAATTGTTGTTTTATTTTGTACCTGGTTTCTGATAAAATAAAATTTGCAATTACAAGAAAATTCCCAGAACACTTGGTGAAGTGAAGCTTTTTCCAGCTATACGATAAATTTACACAAATTTCAACTATTAAATTTTACTTATTTACACTGTTCTTACTTTGGCGTTGAGCGAGCTTTGGAGTGAGCTTGGCAAAACACTATTAAGAACACACCTGGAATATTTGCGGATCGATAAAGCTTTTCATTCACACTGCAAGCCATAAATGTAATATTCATTCAATATGACTTAAAACGTAAGTGCACTTTGTTCGAATTTAGAAATATGGAAGTAGTAAGAGAAAATTCGTGCATTGAATATGAAGTTATTGTATGAGTGCCACATTTTATTTTAAACTTTCTTAGAGCCAACAGAAATCATTTCAAAAAAGAAAAATGCATTAAAAAGTAAGAAAAAATTAATTAAAATATGAAAGTGTTTTAATAAGAAAAGCAAAATTAACGCACCAAGAAGGAGTCGTCAAAATGAAACGAAATTTTACATACGTAATGACTACTTTGATGTAAGTAAATGATTACAAAATCAAAGAAAAACGATAATCTTTGATTTTCTAATCATTTACTTACATCAAAGTAGTCATTACACATGTAAAATTTCGTTTCATTTTGACGACTCCTTCTTGGTTCGTTAATTTGTTTTCAATGAGTATATATAGACGAGGTTTTTACGTGACTGAAACGGGTTTGCACTTGTTTACGTTTAAGTATAATTGAAATTTTTTTTTGTTAAATTTTATTGGGAATTAAAGCTTAAAAAATAGTATGTAACAGAGTAAAAAAATACAACTGATTGGAAGGCTAAATTATAATCAAAATTTTAATTTAATTAAAATTTTGCATCGCAAATTACTGCATTTTAGTCATATAAATATTGATACATTGTAAAAACTGGATACTCAAATATCATGAATTTTTCTTCATTTTTGACAAAATCGTTTCCTAATATATAAACTAAACTCTGTGGTGCGACAGCCCATAGAGGGCCAAGGCCTACCGTGCCCATCTCAGTTTTCTTGACCTTGGGCTCTGGGGTGCAGGAGCAGATGTTCCGGTTAAGTGGTCAGCCAAACGCGACCCCCCCCCCTGTGTTTAGTTCCCAATCATGCTTGGTACTCATTTATCGACCCACTGAAGGGATGAAAGGCAGAGTCAACCTTGCCCGGCCCGAAGATCGAACCCAGGACCCGTGGCACGGGAGCGCGAAGCGCAACCACTCAGCCACCGGGCGTCCTTTCCTAATATATGCTCCGAGCGAAAATTTCGTCAAAGTGACGAAAAAGCTATCGTCACTTCTTCGAGGAGACGAACTTCGTTGAAATTAATGAATTTTTCTAAAAAAAACAACTTGCAACTTTTTCAAATAACCATTTTATCATGGGCGCTATATAGATGGTGGTGGTGCAACAAAACAAGGACTGATAGAACAGAGATTGAAAAAATACTCGCACGTCCGAAGCGGGTTTCGAACTTCGGATCTTCCTGGCACGAGACCAACTCCTTGCCACCATACAATCGACTAGACTTAATTTGTCACTTTATTTTCGATTGTCTATTCTTTATTCTAGTCTCATCATTCTAGTTAATAAGCTCCCACAATGTACTATGATGAGATTCCGAGCTGAGGAAGCATTTTCGTCAAATATTTGAGGTTTATATTTGGGAGTTACATTGAGTTTGAGAGTTATATTTAGAGAGTATATTCATATATTTAAGAATTACGTCATTTTGCGACAAAATTATTCTCAAGATTAACGAAATAATTTTCAAGAATTGCTGAATTGTCAAAAGTGAGCGTTTCATATCTGAGAATGTACCTACCCATGTTTCTTTTAATTTGCTTAATCTTTAATGAAGTACTAAATCAAAAGTCTAAAATGAAATTCCCACGAATATGGCAACAGATTGAAAGAGTAATAAAGATAAAAAATGGAAGGAGGGGGGAAATGCTAATCACTTTATTTGGACAGGTTCTAATGAAAAGACGAAATTTTTATATAAAACTGAAAATCGGAATTTGATATTACCATAAAAAATCAAATGAACATTAAAACACTAAAATTAAAGCAGTTATACTAGTAGCAGAAGGGAAAGTGAATAAAATATCCTCATTTTTTCAAAGCTTTTTTCTTAGAATACAGCAAATATAATTACAATTTTTAAAATGGCTACCTTATCTAAATATAAACCATATAGGAAGCCATGGCATCCGTTTTTGCTAACTGAATAGAAATTATTTAATACAACAATTATGGTTACATAATGGAAAAAATTATACATGGCCAAGATATTTGATTTTTGCTCAAAAGAAATTTTAAAACAATATATCAGATAAGTTGTGCTATATATTACTTATAAAAAACTCACAATTAGATAGATAAAAATTATTTTTAATAAATAGTTGGTTTTATTGCAGTTAAATAGCAAAGAAGACTGAGGCATAGCAGTTCAGTTGAGTGTGATGTATTAAAACGATATTACACAGGTATTACTTGTAATATACTAATTTTTATGTATCTACTTTTACTAAAAACATATAATAATATGATTTTAATTCCCAGAATTTCATTTTAGTCATTAAAATTATTATAGTCATGGGACATTAAAAAAGGGCAACTTATTTTGAAAATGACCAATATATATTAAGTTTCTCAGAAGTTATAATTTTCCAAATTTTACTTGACAATAATATTAAAATAAATAAACAATATAAATGTCAAGTGATAATTTGAAAACACTTTTATGGTTTATATCATATATTATAGCATCCAAATCAAGTTCAGAAATAAAGTAATTGAAAAATATTGATAGCATTCCTTTCTTTTATTGTTTTGTACTATCTCGAGACAAAAATGCCTAAAGGAGACTATTTTCCAATTATAAATCTATTAACTCTTGTGTACTGTTTAGAAACATGTACACTTAATTCATTTGGCTTTAATGTTTTGTCTTCAAGCTAATTGTAAATACAAATGTTGTTAATCTACACGAAATTAGCACTAAATACTTCTAAAAAAGAAATGAGTGTTTTAAACCTGGAGTTGGTAATGAAATTTACTAAGAATAAATGAGAGTAGATCAATAATTAGAATAATAAATAGAAACAAATACAACTGATAATCTAATGTAAATAGAAATTAAAGATAAACTCAAGAGGAATGTTTGTTTCTACTACATAGAATGATCGGGAACATTTTAAAAGTATTAATATGAGAGATCTGTTGTAGATGGTAACATACATCGAAGTTATTTCTTCAATTTTCACAGAAGCTACTATTTATTTCTATTTTATCAGTATCTTAATTTAATTGTTATTATAGTGTATGGTATTCCTTTATAATCTCTGGTGTAGTCCTGGTATTCCTTTAAAATGTTAGATTTCAATTTTCTCAAGTAATTTGATTGAAAACTAGACGTCTGCAGTTCAAAGTTGCTGGATTACTTGTTTTTGAAATTCTGAGTATTGTGATATGTATAAAGCTTTAAGAAAGCAATGAACTAAATTATGAAAACCTACTTATAAAACAACAGCGGCGGAAGGGTTTTCAAAATTAATTACTCATACTGCACGGAAAAAAATTTCTCGCAAAATTTACGTACTGTATAGTAATGATATTTCTGGTAGAAAACCTCTCTTATTCTAGAAATAAAATCTAAAATATACGGCATTTAAACCATTCATTAGGAAGCTTTGTTCACATGGCTACAGTCTATCGGAAATTCAGGTTTCGAAATTGTAGTTCTTATTACCTCACATTTAGTGAAAAATGCAAAACTGAAAAGTAAATTTTACCGAATAAACTCCTTTTATGTCCTGCTCTAAGAAACCATGATAAAATTACCAAATTTTATTATATGTACCTTATTTTAGTGTTAATTTTATCAAAATAATTACCAAAGTGCTTTGGTAAAAATTACCAAACTTTTTAATGTTCCATAGAGCCAGAAAAACGGTAAATTTTACCATATCCCGGTATTTTTTACCTTACTCTTTTTTCAGAGTGGTTCTCAAAAGATCGGATGTTTAACAAGACTTCCAACTACTAAGCGTTTTGCAAAAAATTTCATTAGGTGATAAATAATTGAAAACTAAAGCTTTCAGAATTTTTGGTATCTGTGCAAAAATTTTAAAAGCCTCAAATTAGAGAGCTGGAACAAAGTGGCTTTTCATGTAAAGTTTCGAAACATGTATATGTAGTGGTGTTGAAAGTAACTTTAAATCAAAATTTCAAAACAAAGAATTAGCTACCACTAAAAGAAATCATCCCAAAAAGTGTTTAAGTTGGCAGCTCCATGTTTAGATGCAGAGTTATTACAGGGAAAAAAACTCAATGCAATTATTTAATATAATAAACTTCATGCTAAAAAAGTAAGGAAAGGTAGGAATGAGGGTCCTTTTAGGGTTGTATTTCCATCTCAAGGAAAAGGTGAATAGTTTTTCTCAAAAACAGTCTTCAATAAGGGCTGGTATTGCTTAAATTGTATTTGACTTCATCTGTCTCATGAATTAAGATGAAAATTTTATGATAAAATGCTTGCATTTTATAAATTTCCACGTGAGCAGATTGCGAAATGTCATGGTTCAGTTCAAAAGTACTTGAAAATTACTTTTGAAGCTTGAACTTGTACACATTTGTTTTCTGGATAAGCTGAATTTTGAAGCACACATTGATTTTCTGGATACGCTATTGTTAAAAAATAATAGGTGGCGATGATGAAATGTGCAGTATCTATCATTCCATTTTAAAGAACATTCTAATTTAAATAAATATCACTACAAATAAAAGAATAAGAACTCACATTTTTATCAATGAAAACATAAATAGTTACATAAGATAAAAGTTTTCATCAAAAACACATATTTATACATCTTTCATTTTTTTAATTGCATTCATTTCATTATAAAATGCGAACACATCATCCATAGAAAAAGTGGTATGTTATTCAACTTAAAATCAAGTGGCAATTTCATTATTGTAAATCACACTATGATAAAAGTCACAAAATGTCTATCCAGACACACATTTAAGTTATTATATCACCATGGATAAGAGTGGCGCAGTTTTCTGAAAATAATTAGAAAAATGAAGCAATTGTTCTACCATTTTTCTTTCGTGCTGAAAATTTCATTTTTTAGTTTTGAAAATAGAAAAGGGGTACTTAGTGGTGATACTTTGCCTAACTAGCCTTTTAGTACACTAATGTGATTTTAGGGTGGCCACAGTTTATCAAAATTCAAACACTGGTTGAATAAAATGGACGAAAAATGTTTTAATGAATTTCTATGTACTAAAAACAATTTGTATATTAACTATTTGAGCTAAAGTGCGGTCAGCAGATTTTTTAAAAATAAATTGAAATTTTAACACTTTAAAAATTTTGAATATTCCCAAGATGCTTTCTCCACCACATTTCACATTTTTCAGACTGTGGCTATCATAGATGATTTACTATATTACTTTCTTAGTGCTTTTTATACGTAAAAGCCAACCCGGAAGTGCAGTATTCAAAGTGAATTCAAAGTAATATTTTAGTAAATTTAATTAATATAAAATCAATTTGCTTAGTTTTCCAAACAATTTTAAACGTCTCTGCAGCATAATTATTAACTCCTACATATTTGTTTGCATACATGCATAGTGTTGGCCAAAAATAATTGAAAGCAATTTTATTAAATCAAAAAGTAATTGGTAAAACATATGATTTACTGCCACTTTAAATAGTCAAGTGACAAGGGAGGCAGAATGTTCAGTAACTTATGTGACATGCAAACATATAAAAATTGAAAAAAAATTTTGGTTGACGAATTTAAAGGTCCTATGTTAGCTTAAAACGATAGAATTTTCTTTAACTTTCAAATTATAATATTCAAAACGAACAAAGCTGCTTACATATTTATGCACTTAAAGTTATCAAATCAAGAGGTTATTTGGTTATTACTACTAAACTAAAATAATGGTATTTTTCTTTTTTCCAATTTATATGTTCAAGATTTTTTTTTATTTTGAAAGAAAAGCTTTATAAATCTTATATTCTTAGGAACCAACTTTAAAATTGTGCACACATAAAAAGAAGGGCAAATAAGTGATCTTCAACAGTTATCAAATTTTATTTTAACCATGTTGTAAGTCGGGCATTTGAAAAGAGTATAGCATTGTCCCCTTGTATAATCAACGTAGTTTAGTTACTTTGAGGATCAAAAAGTGGCACTATCGTAGTATAACATGGTAGAGTATACTGGGCAATCTTAATCTTAAAAAAAATAAAAGTAATGGGTGCAGGGTATACCGGTTAGTGACATTAAACTTTTTAAAAAAAATCAGTGTAGGGTATACCGAGCAAATGTACACCGGGAAGTGGGACTAAAAGAGAAAAACTAAAGAACATTTATCGATTAAAATAGTAAATGTCTATTGAATACAGATAGATCGCTTATTGGTCTAAAACCAAGACTTTTCTATATTTTTAGTTACAGTGTAAAAATTATGGCTTTCTACTTATACACTTAGAGTTAGTACGACAAATATGGAAATGATTATCTCATTTGCGTTTTAACTATTACAGGGCAAATAAGAGAATCGTAGAAATTTAAATCTTGAAATTGTTTCAATTAATAATATTTTAGTACCTGACTTACAAAGTTAAATTAGTAAATACATGTTTCCCTTATTCTTAATGAAATACATATATAAAAAAAAGTCTTTATGTACATGAAATAATGAGTCGATTCCTAAATAAATTCTCTTCAATGACACAATCATGAATTCGGATTGCATGATTTAGGAAATGTTCCGCATGTATGCAGCGGGTATTTTGAAATACTATGATTCATTTTAACATTCTATATCATGTCGAACGTAGCCTTCTTATTCTTTCAAAATCACGAAAAGGTCTTCTAGAAATGGCATCAGATACCGCAGTAGGATGATTTCTTATTTGCGTTATGTGAACAGAAGACGGCGCTTCCGATAATAATCTCTCTTCGGTTGATAGCAACGTTGTCGTACCGGTACCAACGTTTGGTCTGTGACGGATAAAAGGACCGTACCAGGGTTTCTTTGTCTTCTTCGGCGCTGTTGTTGATGGTTCGAAACTACTACTTTCTGCCCGTGTGGTTGCTGTTAGGCGACGATTTGCATTTTGATGATTTGCTCTTGTATCTCTGACAGATTGTCTTTCAAGTTCAGGTGTAGTACTTATTGCAGATTGAGCACTGAGATTTGTTCTTCGAATTTCATTTGATCGACCTCTTGCTGGAGATACGCTTAGACGTGGCTGTCTTGCAGGAGGTGTTATGTTTATGGTTGGTTGCTTTGCTGGAGGTATGTTTATCGCTGGTTGCCTTGCTGGAGATAAGTTTACAGAAGCTTGCCTTGCTGGGGACGTGTTAACAGGTTGCTTCGGTGAAGTTATGTATTCTGGTGGCTGATGTACTGGATGTATGTTAACTGTCCTCTCTGGCGATATGTTTGAAGTTGGCTGCCTAACTGGAAGTCTGTTTGCTGTTGGCTGTCTTACTGGGATTATGTTTGCTGTAGGCTGTCTTAATGGAAGATTGCGTCCTTCTCTCGTACCGGTAGCTGTTATAAATAAATAACTAGTTGTATTAACTGATTGTAAGTAAAGAAAATTACAGCAAAACTTTAATGATTTGAAATGTATTAGCTATGAGAAAATATAACTTTAAAATTAGAAGCAAAATTAGCGCATTCTCTAATGGTGAGTGTTAATGCAACAATTCGCTGTAAAAAGAAAACTGTCTTGAGGATGACAAAAATAGTGGGACATTTTTACTTAAATGAAGAGAATATTTTCTGGTATTAACTACTACATTGTTTTTTTTAATAAAAATGTAGTACCATAAGAAGGTTTACAATAGTATCTAGCATTGCGATAGCTCTTGTTGCCAGTTATAATTAAGCAACACTGGCATCAATATTCGTTTCGTGATTCTTTTATGGTCCCCCGAAACGAATAGGCTTTAAAAAATGAATGAATTCACGGAAGATCTTATTTCTACAGCAAATTACAATATATACAGTTTTCATTCTTAAAATAACTATATTTTAGACAATTTTAATCAAATTATTTCAAATATTTGAGAAAAGAAAAGATTTTCTGCAACACAGAAAGAAAAAAAATTACTTTTTTTGTTACAGTATTGATACATACGAAATTTTTGCTACTAACTGTAAATAATAATATAAAATTGTGGAAATAAATAAATGAAAATGACTTAATATACAGAATGAATTCCAACACAATATTTTATCAACCTATTTCATTTAATAAGAATTAATATAATGGTATATAGTATAAATGATAATAATAAAACATGTTAAAAAGGGACTCATCATAACATGCTAAATTTCATTACTACTTTTCTAATGAAAAAAAAATTTCGCAAACCACAAAGAAGAAGTTTCGAACGAAAGGCAAATAAAAGAATGATAGAAATTCCAAGCAAGCATTCCATTAGAGCCAGAATTCTTTGCGTGTACAATGAAAATGCAAGAAAGAAAAAGGAAATAAGAATTAAGGTAAAAAAAGTTGTTGAGCACAGTTTTTAGCTAAGATAAGATGATATAAGGTCCAAAAAAATCTCTATTAAAGTTAGAAATTAATAAGCATTTCGATTCGCATAAAAAGGTTCAATTATGTTAACTATTTGCCAATCACAGGAAAGAAGTTACGACCAAAAGACAAATAAAAGAATAGTAGAAGGCTTAATTATTTTAACTATTATACTCTTGACCTTTGAAAGTAGGACTTTAAGGTTAAATGTTTGAGAAACATGCCGTGCGTTCTTCGTAAAAGACGATTCCTCTTCTAAAGGAAATGTTTTAGCACAAGCGTTTTATCATTAGTATTTATTTTGAGGAAACTAGATAGTTCTGTCCGGAATACATTATTAATATCAATATTTAAAGGCATTTTACCTAAATAGTACTACTTTTCATACTTAAATTTTTATTCGTTACAAATCACCGGCAATTACATATGAAATATTTAATAATAAAATACAGTCATTCAGCCACTTACGTTATTTCTTTGCTGATAACATTTGTGAGGTAAGTACTGAAAACTGTTTTCGCAAGGCCTGCTAGCGATACGATTTTTTAAAAAAAAGTTGCATTCCACCCGGGCCTTAAATCATACCACCCTTTTAAAATATTGACTGTTTATGATTAAGGGTAAAAGTAGACCATGTATAACCTAAAATAATTTTTTAATATAATCGGAAATGTTTTTTTTTAAATGGCAGGCACATAATCGGAAATGTGATATGAAACTAACTGTTACAAGTATAGCCTAAAAATTTGTTAATGGAGTTTGATACCACGTTTTACGAAGTTCAAGCTGACTCTTCACTTTTAATAAGTGACTAAAATCCTTGACTAATATCCACTTTTAATCCTATGCAATCTTGTCAAGCAACTTGATAAGATTGCATAGGAATTATAACCAACTTTCTTCAACATAAGTTTTGGAAATGGGGAAATTGGTTTGATTGAAGCCTAGCCTTTTTTTTTTTTTTTTTGCTATTGGAACAGATCAGTCTAACAAGTCTCATTACTAATTAATGATTACTAGATCCTTACTTGACTAACCAGGAAACATATCGCTGGTACCAAGTTTAAATGACACTTCTGCACTCACTTCTCATTCAAATAACATGAGAAGTGAGTGCAGAAGTGTCGTTTTAACTTTGAACCAGCGACATTACTTAAATGTTTTTTTTATCACTTTTCTTTTCAAGGGAAGAAGGAAAATAAATCTCATTAAATTTGACGAAATAGTTTCGCTCCTTTCCGGTTGATTCATAGATTGGTTTTATCTTCTGTCAAAAAGTCAATTTAATTAAAGATCGTCTCACCAGGATAGTTAACGTTTCAAATATGTCATGAGCCTCACTGACAAGATGAAAAATAACGTAGTATGAGAAAGTTAGTCCAGAAATAGTACTCAGCAACTTTACGATAGTTTGGGTGAAGTACAATTTAAGCTGCTTGGAAAACTACCTGTTTAGTATAGTTGAAGTTGATACGTTTTTCCTAAATCCTACCGGTGTGATTTAGGACTACACACGAAATACAATTTAGATATAACAACGCAAAGTTTTAAATAAAATATTATTCCAAGCTTCAAACGAGAGTTAGCCAGCAAAGAAACAATTAGACATAACATAATAAGTTGCTTAAGAATTATATGATATATCAAATAAACTGCACATCATTTTAGTTCTGCTCTATCCTTACGCACGATGCTCAAACATTTCGCTGAGAACTTGTAAAACAGAAAAACTTAACTCAAGTACTCACAAGTCACAATCAGTGACTTGATTCTTTTACATAGAAAAAGGGCTCTAATTTAGCTACTATATTATAAGTTTCCAAAAGGTGTTCCATAGAATCTTAGGGTTTCGTGCAAGAGTTAAAAAGATTCCGAGAAATAAAATTTTTAAAAGGTAATGATTTTTGAAACCTAAACTATATACTTACACCCAATCAATAATCCATTATTTATATAATATTAGATAAATAATTTAAATGAAATAGTTTATGGCCATTAAAAAAAGTATTTACAAATTTGTCTTAATATAAACATTTATTGAAGGAAATAGGAAAATCATTGATAAAAAAATGGATTCTAATCATGGCATTAACATTCACGCTTTTTAAATTAAAATAAAACAATTAAATTTATTAACCAAGAAACATGTTTACTTAATTATTTTTAACGTTAATAGCAGTTCTTTTTAAGTTTCATTTGACTGAAAATCGTCATTAGAATTGTTTCGTTTTAATTTCCACTTTTGAACAGTGCTCGAAAAAAAGAAACAGATCACCCTGAATAACTTTTGATCTAATGATCGGATCTTCTCAAGAAAATCTTAATGGCTCAAAAGGGTAACATTAAATATGTTATTTAATAAAGGCTGACGATATTTTAAGTTAAAAAATCAGACACAAAAACGTACTTTCTTTGAATAAACCTACTTTTTTTGATAGATTTGAATTTCTGTCTCCCAAAATATAGGAGGTAGCCGCAATCTGGGAAATATGGTCCCAATAATTCGGTCAAGAGATTGCACCAAAGTTTGGACCCCTTTATGTTAATTTTACTTTTGCGTATTTTGCTATATCTCGAGAAATTTTTAAGCAAATTGAAAAATGTTTGCACACAATTATAAAATTTGTTTATCTACAGATAATTATCTACAAAAAACAACTTTTAGTAAGCATTTATTATTTTTTTATTTTATTTATAACGGTTGAAAGAATTTTGAATTGTAAGGTATAGAAATTTTTGCATCAATTAAAAGAATATAATGCTATGAAAAACTACAAAATTTGAGCAAAATCGGTTGAATAGTTTCTAAGAAATTAAGCTTCAAAATAGTCAAATATATAAAACTAGGAGGCTTCGCCCCCTTCTCGCTAGCGCTCGCCATCCCCCGGAACTGCTTTCGCAGTTCGTTTCGGATAGCTTCGCCGTCCGATGCTCGCTTTGCTCGCTCATTGGATACGTTCTTAACGTCTAGCTTTTGTATACTTTTTTGAACACTGAAGTTTCGAAAACTTTTCACTTTAGAAAATTCTAAACCTGTGCATTTCAATATTAATTCGAAATTGCAAACAGTTCACATATTTTTCAATTTCAGTTGTTGAGAAATGTGTGTATATGTGTATGAGAAATGAAATAATTTTGTGAGAACTTTTTTGATAATTCGGTGAGAATTCACCCGATTAGACATATGATGCTCACTACGTGCTCTTGCACACCGAAGCCTATCAATTAAAACGTATTAGCGTTATATATAATATAAATTAGCCATATGATGCTCACTACGTGCTCTTGCGCGCCGAAGACTATCAATTGAAAATTAAAACTGTTGCCAACGCGAGAAAAGAAATATCATCGGTTTTATTGATACATACGTATTAGCGTTTTGTATAATATAGATTCTATTTTTCAGGCACTATTCAACCGAAGAAATCCGAATTCGTCGAAAAAGAGATATGTTTATTCAGAGAAAGTACGTGAACTTAAAATATCGTCTGTACTTATTAAATAGCCTATTTGAGGTCACCCCCTTGAGTCATTAAGATTGAGTCCTAGAACGCGAAGATCCGATCTTTAGATCAAAAGTTATTCTGGGTGGTCCGTTGCTTTAACTCACTATACATGCAACAAAAAACAAATTCATAACTACACAATATTTAGCTCCATGGCTGCGAATTTATCTGTGAAACAAAAACTTTTTGAAGGCTAAAAGATAAACGATGGCAAAAGTTTGATTCTCCGTATTTCATTTTAATTTTGTAACCAGCGTGTAACAGTCGACTTAAGTTTGAATATATGAGTAGCAATGCTTAACTCCATATCCTTGTAATTTTGAACTCAAACAAGAGGACAAGGGAACTCCTCAATTAAGTATTAAGAGAAATTAACCATCTTAAAGGATTTTTTTTAACCGTCGTTGAGCAGCTGACTTAATTTTATAGGTTTGCGGCTACTATTGTTCAACACCGTAGCCTTGTAATTTTGAGTCCAATCCAGAAGACAAGGGAACTCT